AAAGGGCTGAGTGGTTGGCAACAAGACTCAGGATCTGAGGTGACGGCCTCTTCCTCCTTTTCTGTTTTCACCAATGACCCTCTAAGATATGCTCTGAAACTGAAACCCCAGACCCACAATTATGAACTGGTCAAATAACAATGGATTGGAGCCAGGGCATAGAGATCTCAAGGCTGGCTCTGCCATTTACTATCTGTGTGACTGTGGGCAAATGCTTTTGCCTCTCTGGGCCTTAATTTCCTCACCTGTAAAATAAGGGTGTTTGGACTAGATGACTTAGGTAAGCTAAAGGTTGCAGTGGAGAGAGTGGGGGCTTGGAGTCCAGAAGCCCTGAGTTCAAATTATGCCTTAGACCCTTGTTCTACCTAGGCAAATCACTTAACCTCTCAGTGGCAGAATTTCCTCAGTTGTGAGAAAGAAGTAATCACAGGACCTGTTTTACGGGCAGTTGTGAGGAGCAAATACACCATGTTAAATAAGAAAAGTGCTTTGGAAACCTTAAAGCCTTAAAAAAGTTTCTCCCTTTTTCCTTCTCCTTGTCCTTCCTCTTCCCTTTTCTCGTTCTCTTCCTCTTTTTTCTCAGGTCCCTTCTTGCTGTAAATTCTAGGAAGCATTCAATTTCTCTCTCTCTCTCTCTCTCTCTCTCTCTCTCTCTCTCTCTCTCTCTCTCTCTCATAATTTTTTAATCTGGGGTCAGTGAACTTAAAACAATTGTCACCTGTATTTCAATATAATCGGTTTCCTCTGTAACCCTATGTATTTTATTTTCTGCATCAAAAACATTATTCTGAGAAGGGAGTGGTCCATAGGTTTTACCACACATAGGTTTACCACAAAGGGGTCCATGTCACAAAAAAAGGTTAAAAAGGCCCTGCTCTATTCATTACAAAGTGAACTATCAAGTAATATCTTTAATAGGTAAGCTGGTAATTTAGGTGTCATCAGTTAACACCTTAAAGTAGTGTCTGAGGGCTAGAACGTTAGTGCAATTGGGTGCTGCTTGAATTAAGCCCCACACTTCCATGCCACTAATGACCACTGGCATTATTAGCAAAGGCTCTGTGCAATTGACCTGGGGCACTTTGAGTTAATGTTGTCCCCAGGTTGATTCGACATGCACATAGCTGTGGGTCCTTTGGCAAGAAGTATATAATGATTTCAGATCTCTCTCTCTCTATAGGATGATTTCAGAAAAACCTGGAGGGATTTACATGAATTGATGCACAGTGAAGTGAACAGAACCAGGAGAATGTTGTACACAGTAAAAGTGACAATGTATGATGAAGAATTGTGAATGACTTGGCCATTCTCAGCAATACAATGATCCAAGACAATCCCAAAGGACTAATGATGAAGCATACTATCTGTCTCCAGAGAAAGAACTGATATTGATTCAATACAGACTAAAGCATGCTATTTTCACTTTATTTCATTCTTTTTCTTTTATTTGAGTCTTCTTGTACAAAATGACTAATATGGAAATGTTTTACATGATTGCATGTGTATCTGATTGCTTACTGTCTCAAGAAGGGGGGAGGGGAAGGAACGATAGAATTTGGAACTCAAAACTTAAAAAAAACCCGAAATGTTAAAAAAACTGTTTTAACATGTAATCATGGGAAAATAAATAAAACATATTAAATAAAAAAGAAGTACATAATGAAAATTTTGAGGCTTTGTTGGGGACATGTTCCTAAAATATTGGGGAACTTCCTTACTGTTTTATGAGAGCAGTGGCTTTTATCTGTTTTGAGGGAGGGGTTTATTGGAAATGTTTTTATTAAAGGAGTTGTTTATATGAACTTCAGGCTCTAATTCAGGCAGGCTTCACCTTTATTTGGGATCATGGATTTCTTTGGCAGTGCAGCGAAACCTAATACAACTGTGGTTCGTGAAGGAAATGCTAAATTTGAGTTAGAGGTCAGTAAAAATAAAGATGTATTTTTTTCCCCACAGACAAGTCATGGGTCCTCCTGAAATCTATCCACAGACCCCAGTTATGGAGCTCCTGCTTTAAGTGATTATTGGACCAGATGTGGAACCACATCTGGGACAACTAGTGACAGCTTGGGCAGTGAGTGAGTGAAGGAGAAATGGCAGGATTTTACTGGGGATTACCGATGATCCCTCAATGTCCAAAAGAAGGCATCTCCGATGATGTGTATGCTGCTTTGCCTTCCAACACTGCTGGACCTGCTTGAGAGAATGTTATCTTCTCTCTTGGTTCCCATTACTGGTACACAGCTCCTGGAAACCTCCAGGACAAGGTACATGGGTAAAGAGGACTTTTAACACGAGTCCTGTTCATTCAAATACACTGATACTAGCTAGGAAAGACAAGCAAGTGTTTGTTGTCTGGCTTCAAAATTCTACCCAAAAACAGACTGGGGAGTTTCTGAGACTCAGACAGGATTTCCTAAGAAGTGCTGATCTAAAGGGGTACAAAAAAACAGCAGAGAGTAGTAGCAAGCTGCTGAAAAGGGGAAGAGGGAGGGTGAGGAGGAAGGGAAGAGGGAGGGAGGGGAGGAGGCGGAAGGGGAGGGGGAGGAAGCATTCTGTAACTTGTTTTGCTTTTGAATTTTGAGTTCCAAGGGTTAACTTCTGAGTAGCAGGCTGCTACCTCTGAACCAGTGGGGATTCTGGGCTAAGTGGAAAAACATATGTCTTCTATTAGATAGAGATTCAGGAGGTCCATGTTCACCCAAGGTTAGATAATGAAAAGGAAGGTTGGTTGCAATCTGATGTTTGTAACCATTCCAACAGCTTTGCTGAAGCAGTCTTTTTTTCTGGGGGGGGAGCAGAGAAGATGGTCATCTTGATTAAAAAATGCTTCTCTCTTGCCCAGACCAATGATGCCAGCCGATAAGATACAGTATGGCAACTTTGTCAACATTTCCACTGTGGATTGCAACTTCCAGCTTTCCTGAATAGGGATATATCCTGATGTAGTTGGAGGAATTAGTATCTGAACCCCATCAATAAAGACTACCCTGACAGGCTGCATACCTAAAAACTCACCAAGTTGAGGTAGGTTGTGTCATGAGGGACAGGTGCTGTTTATACAGAGCCTGGGCTTTTTTTTGTTTGTTTGTTTTGAGGGGGGGAAGGAAGAGTTAAACCATGACAGGAAATAACATCAGAGCAATTCAACCCTATTGCAAAGTCAGAGGTGTTGGACTATGCCTGCAACTTAACATTTCTTGACAGTCAGTATATTTTGTAGGGTATTATATTCTGGAGAATAGTTTTTTTCCCCTTGTTTACATTTATTACTGGGAACTACCTTTCCCCTCCCCATGAATGATTGATGTTGCCAGTATACATTGACCCACTTGAGTCCGATGAACAGAAAACACGGTAGGTTGCCACATACTTAAAACATTGCAAAGGGAATGGGGGACAACTTATAGGGAGACACCTTCAATTCTATTGCAAAAGATTGGGTTGGGAATGATAAAGAATGATGAAATGATGTTTGTTCTATAATAGGTTCCATCCCGGCAAACTGGAAAAGAAGCCAGGTGGTTTGGACAATAAGCACAAGAAAGCATTAAGCGTCCTTTATTTAAAGGACAAATCTCCCATGTTGGGTTAGAGGATTTTGCTTTTTCAAGGCATACATTGACTACTTTGCTTCTAAAACTCTTGATTTCAAACATAATGTGATCATAACATGGTACCTTAGCTGCAACAAACTCCATTTGGCAGGTTTGGACAATTCCCATGAGGTCCCGCCACTGGGTAGATTCCTAGGGCATGGTGTATGGAAACCATAGATCCTTTCCTCCCAAAAGTGTTAGAAAGGAAGTGTTGCCTCAGTAAAGACTTAAGAGCACTTGACGACTAACTTTGACCTATGCCCTCAGATTAATAGAAATCATGTACAAACAACCTCTGCATCTCTTTGTACTAGTCAAGTCAATAAGCGTTTATTAAGCACATACAGGCACTATACCAAACGCTGAGAAAACAAGGAAAGGCAAAATTAGTCCCTGCCCAGGGAAGTTATAACTTACAACACAGGATCACCTACCCACAAGGTATGTATCAGATAAATTGGAAGTAAACTTAGAGGCAAGGCATTAGCATTAAAGGGGATTGGGAAAGACTTGGGCAAGATCAATGACAGGAGAAGAGCGCAAGGGATTTGAGAGAAGAAGATACTGTAAAGTTGAATTGGTTTACCAAGTATTATAGATGAAGAAGGGGCTAAAGTATAATCAGTGCAGCCAGTAAACAATAAAGCACCTACTGTGTGCTAGTCACTGTGTGAAGTGCTGGAGTGATGACCTGGAAAAAAAGACTGAGGGGTGAGAGGATTAGAAATCATAGTGAGGATGAAGAACAGTTAGAAGCTGTAAAGCAGAGAGAAGAGTGGAACAATAAAAGATCATGATCAAATAAGGGCGTTTCATAGTTGATGAATGTGGAAGTGGAACTCTCGTGGGTGTTGGCAAGATGAGTGTGGATGAGGGGGTGGAAGAATAGGTCATGGGAAGCGAGCAAGTCGAGTAACTGGAAAGTTAGGGAGTTTGAGAATGTATTATTAATATGTTTGTTGAAGGGCAGAAGTTGGAGGAGAGAGAGAGACTCGGAACCAAAAACTGAACTCTTTAAGGAAGGAAGACAGAAGAAATATGCTGGAGGTCGGTACATAACAGCTACCAGAATCTTGGATTGGGCGATAAATATGTATTGAATGGATCTCAAAGGGTGTAACTGAGTGATGGTTGTAGAGGGAGACCGTGGAAGGGGCCATGGCGAGCAAGGTCTATTCCAGCATCTCCATCATGGCCAATGAGTTGGGGAAATGAGTAAAAGTGAAACCAGTGACAGAAAGCGACTGGCCAGTAATGCCACGTCAGAACTGTTAACTCTCCCTACTTCCTCTTTGGGATTCAACTTATTTGTGATCCTAGGACCTTAGCAATACCAAAAATCAGCCAACTGTGGCAATGAACATGAAATAAGATTCTCTTAGAGATCGATCTCATACATACCTCGTCTCCATGCATGTTAGCGATGTACTTGAACTCTGGAATCCCAATTCTGTGTTCCCTTGGAAACCTTCCCACAACAAGAACCCACATGTTTCTACCTTTATAGGGAAAAAAGAAATTAAGAATAAGTGGTCTTTTAAAGTAGCAGTTGATATACGATGAAAATGTAACACTAGGAACAGGAAATAGAGGGAGGAAAAAAACTCCACCAGGGGTGGTGAACCCACAGCCTTCTAGGTCCTTGGGTGTGGCCTTTTGACTGAGTCCAAGTTTTAGAGAACAAATCCTTTTGTTAAGGGGATTTGTTTTGTGAAGTTTGGGTTCAAAGGGACACACTTGAGGACCTAGAGGGTCACATGTGGCCTCAAGGCTGGAGGTTCCCCACCTCTGCTCCAAACCCTTCCTGTCCCACCAGAATACATTCTATCCTTTTCTATTATTAAGTTCAGATAACTAACACCTCAATGTTCACACTGTATTTTATAAACCGCAAAGGCAAAAGCTTTACATTTTAAACACAATTTTTTTTTTTAGTTTTTCAGGATGAATGTTTCAGAATGCATAAGAATTATAGACTTATGGTTAATTTTTAGAAATATTTAGACACTTCATAGTCTTAAGCCAGATTTCATACATTATACAAATAATATTCCTTTATACAGTTTGTACAAAGGTCAAATGCTTTTTTCAAAAAATTATGGTTGGCTGTGGAAGACAGATGGCTGCTGGAGAGGCTAAAAACAACTTTAGTCAGAAACTCTCGACAGAAGGAATGTGAAAAGACAACATCAATAACATCTATTCCAGGAGAGGATTTTTTTCCCCCAAGTAAACAAATCTAGAATTCTATTTAAGTGTTTATGAGACTTCTTCTTTGCCTGATCTTGACCACTTTTTTATCATGGAATAATAAAGGGCAAGCAGCTGACAAGTATCTCATTTGATACTCATCATGGCCCTATTAAGCTGGGTAGTGCAAGTAGTAGAAAACCCAATTTGAAGATGAGGAAACAGGCTGAGAGCGGTTAAGGTGACTTGTCCAAAGTCATGCAGATAGATACTGGGACTTGAATTCAGCAGCTAGGTGGCACAGTGGATAGAGTGCAAGGTCTGGAGTCAAGAAGACCTGAGCTCAAATTTGGCCTCAGATACTTGCTAGCTGTGTGACCCTTGGCAAGTCACTTAACTTTGCCTCAGTTTCTTCATCTGTAAAATGAGCTGGAGAAGGAAATGGCCAACTACTCCAGTATCTTTGCCAAGAAAACCCCAAAGGGGTCATGAAAAGTTGGACACGACCGAACAAAACTTATTCTTCTTCCTTCTCGTTTGGCGGCTAAGAGGTGCAGTGGATAGAGTGCTGGGCCTGGAGTCAGGAAGATCTGAATTCAAATCCAGCCTCAGACACTTCCTAACTGTGTGACCCTGGGCAAGTCACTTAACCCTGTTTACCTCAGTTTCTTTATCTGTACAATGAGTTGGAGAAGGAAATGGTAAACCACTCCAGTATGTCTACCAAGAAAACCCCAAATGGAGTCACAGAGTCAGACACAACTGAAATGACTGAACAATAATAAAATGACTCCCAGTTAGTGTTCTTTGTATTATAAAACACCACTCCCCTCTCAAAACAAACACCACTGAGCAACCTGGGGTCAATACTGGCAAACAGTTAACCAACATGCTCTAATGCTCTAACTCCAACGTGTTGTGTTTTAAAATCAGGGGAGAAGGACTAGAGCTGTGATTTCAATGACAGAGAACGTCAGGGCTGAGAACCTGCTTCTACCACAATGCAGGCCAGCACCTTCTGTGCAGTTTAAGAGTCTCAGACAGAGCAACCACATGTTAACGTTATCTGTTTTACTGTATTTAAATTTTTATTGTTAAATATTTCCCAAGGCCATTTCCATCTGATTCTGCCTCACTGGGGAGTGTTGCTGACTGTAGTGTGGCCCACATGTTGGACCCCTCTGGCAGAGGGAACTGAGAAATTACTTGCTTTGTGCAGGGTTAAGTAGCCAATGTATGTCAGATGTGGAGGCTTCAGGTCTTCTGGCTTCAGGGCCAGGTCTCTAGCCACTCTGTCTCACTGCCTCTCTAAAACTGAGGATGTAAAAGATAGACATCAGCTGGTCATGGTTAGACAACTATATGTCATAGCATTAAAAATGATGGGTCCTCTTCAAACCTTTTACTGGCTCCCCATTGACTCTAGGAGACTAATTCCACAGCACTGGCATTTTGCGGGTGTTGTTTAATTGTTTTTCAGTCATGTCTGACTCTTCATGACCCCTTTTTTAGGTTTTCTTGGCAAAAATACTGAAGTGGTTTGCTATTTCCTTCTCCAACTTATTTTACAGATAAAGAAACTGAGGCAAACAGGGTGAAGTGACTTGCCCAGGATCACACAGCTAATAAGTATCTGAAGTCAGATGTGAACTCAGGTCTTCCTAACTCCAGGCCCAGCACTCTATCCACTGCACCACTGGCATTTTTAGGTCTTCCATAATCTGGCTTTCACCTATTTTTTTCCCCCCAGACTTGTTTCACATTCGCCCCTTCACACGTTTCCAATCAAACTGGACTGTTATCTGAACTTGCTGTCCCCCACCGCTCACCTCTCTGTCCATTTTCAGGCTGTACTCCATTCCTGGCATACTACTTATTCTTCCATCCTCATCACCACCTTACAGAATCCTTGTCTTCCTTCAAGGCTTGGCTCATTGGGAAATATTTCCCTCCTCCCACAATGGCTAGTGCTTCCTCCTCCAACTATCTTGTATTGTATTAGGCTTGCTTATAGAATGTAAAATGCTGGAGAGCAATAGATGTTTTTGTCCATATCTGGAGCATCCAGTCCTGTGCCCAGCGAAGTAGGAACTTTAATAAATGCTTATTAAATTGTATAGAATGTTAAAATCACAGGGAAGGAGAGTTTCATAGTCTAAGTTAGACTCAGACTAAGTTACTTAGACTAAGTTACCCATAGACTCTAACAGCTTACAGGGACCCAGTCTGTATAGAGTTGGGAGTCTAATCCTTCTAACTGTTGGACTTCAGGGTGGGATGTACCTTTATAAGCTGTCTTTGAAGAATTAGAGAGTGGGTGTTAATCTTGTTTAGCATTTAATCCCTAGTTCTTTGTCTGCCATAGAGAATTACTTAAAGAAATTGCAACAACTCTTCATGGGAAACACCTACAAGAGTAATTTATCTATTTATTAACCAGCTATTGGTCACTGGACGGAAAGAGTAGCCACCCAAAGGCCTACCTACTCACTACCAACTCTCTTGGACCAGCTACTAAAACTGTCCTCAAATTGGTAAGAGGCCTCGTTGTATAATGGAAAGATTATTGAACTTGACACAAGGAGGGAGCTGGACGTGAACACTAGCTTTGGGACCATGAGCAAATGACAATTTCTCTGAGCGTGTTATTTCATCTATTAAAAGAATATATTAAGAAATATAGCAACATTTGTAATACTGACTCAAATGTTTGTTATGAGGCTCAAATTATAATGTATATAAACGAACTATACACCTTGTAGCTTTAATTGGTGATATGTAAGTGGGGTGGAATTATGTGACTCCTTAGTTAAGCAGCAGCACTGTCTTCTCTTTCCCATACCAAATCACAGAGTATATTGTAGTTTAAAGGATAGCATATTCACCATTCCCATGGCAGATGTTAAATATTAACATGTGTTTCCATCAAATCTCCTTTCTGGGAGGTCATTAAAAATGGAGGAGTTACCAACTGAAAACATTTCATTGTTTTAGACCTCAATTTCCTCATATGAAAAATGAGGGGGATTGGACTAATGATGGTTAAGGTATCTTCTAGCTATAACCTCCTATGATCTAGGAAGGCAGGTGAACTTTCTATTTTGCATCGTCCATCTCTCTTCTCCACCTCCAAAGTGCCTAGGGATTAATAAACATTTGTTGAACTGAATTGAAATTGACAGAACTTCAGGGACAAGACATCGGGCGCCAATTTTATCATCATTGGCCCTAAATGAATTGCAAGATGAGAATTTTATTTTGCATAACTCCAATGGCAGTAATTCAAAGGCAGGGGGAAAAAAATCCAATAAAAGAGATAAGTATATAAACCTGACAAGCAACCCTTCTTGGTAAGAGAACCCATATTGAAGGGTTCACCCCTCCCCCCACCTTTTCCCTCTCCTTCAGAGAGCCAGGCCATTCTTGGCCCATTCAACTTGTTTTCAAAGGTCAAAAGCAGGTGAGCAGGGTGGGGACTTCAAATATGAAAGAAGGTAATGTTGGAAGGCATGTCCTTCTCTTCTATAAAGGTCCTGCTGATAACAGGTGTGCCGAAAAGTTCTCAAGGACTTTTGCTCTCTTCTTTCTACAAAATAAGCTAAACTTTGATTACTCTCATTACCTCAGTTCTGCTCAGATCTAATTACTCTCTCAGGATTTTTTCCATGTAGTGTGACTAAACTCAAAACAACCTATATTGATGGGGACAGTTGAGGATGACAAAAATCACCCTGGAAACCTGAGAATATTCATTTACTCACTCAGTCAACAAATATTTATATGTGTGAGGCAATGTAACATAACAACATGCTAGAAAAATACAATGGACTGTTATTACTATTACTCCTACTGATGGGGTATGGGATCTGGACAGGCACCCCGCCCCACCCCCGGTAGACTTTCCCACAAATTTCAAGAACCCAGCCCCTGACCCCAGATCCCTGGCATTCACCTGAGACATCGGGCTCATCCCAGTATAATCCTTTCAACTGTCCTTTCGTTGTGGCCTCTGACCCAGTCCAACCTTTCATTCTCTGTTACCTCTGGAATTATCCTAGAATTTTCCCATACATTTCAGTCACTGGTGCCTCCACCTAAGGCATCTGGCCTACCCCAGCCCACCTTGATTTCTTAATTAGCTTACTGACACTGCTTTATCCCATCCAAATCTTCCCACAATCCTTTTCCCTATAAAAAAATATCAGTCTTGTCCCTATCAAATTTGCAGAGTCACTAGGAGTCTGGCCCGCTTATATTGGCATCACAAATAAACTCACTACTTAGACAGGAAGGCTTGCATGGTTGAATT